CCCTCTCCATGGTGACTCAGCTCTTGGGAATTTACAGGCTTAACCTCCTGGAACTTGGAAATTTCCAAGTTCTGTGAAATCCTGTAGTTCTGTAGGGGCTGGAGTAGTATCTCCAGCTTGATTCAAACTGGCCAATGAGAAGGGTACCTGTGGGGTGGAACTTTTTGACTGTCAATAAAAAGGGAAAGACCTAGCCAGTCGGGGAGCGCAACCATTTGGAAATCTTCTATGCTGTGAGCTCCTGGCAGATGAATAAAGCCCTTCCTCTTATAACTATGGTGTTTAGGTGCTCTTTCTCTCCGTTGGGCCTCGTCTTCCTGCAACAGTCCCATGAAAGGAAGAGATGCAGAGTGTATGCTCCCAACCTCAAGGGTGGAAAATATTCAGCGTGTAACCAAGGTCAAGCTCATACTACTCACCACAAGACAGCTAATACCATATTTCCCCGGAAATAAGACCTACCCAAAAAATAAGCCCTAGCAGGATTTCTATGCATTTGTTAAATATAAGCCCTACCCCAATAATAAGACCCAGTGATGGGCATGGCTATGCATCGTATCTGCATGCCATTTTGGTGCGGAATAGTAAGGAAGACTGGAATACCTTTTATCTGCCACAGCTCCTTTCTCCGAGAGGGTTCGCACTTGCACGGGAGCACGTGTGGTAACTGCAGTCGCAGGCATCCTATTGAGCACATATGAACGGCTATGGGAAAGGAATTCACGCATCACTAGCGCCAGCCCCACCAACAAGGTCGGCTCCCCCGTCAGGTTCCAGAAGAAGATGACTTAACTTTATTTGAATAAATGTAGATTGTTGTATTATACTTAATAAAAAATAAGACATCCCCTGAAAATAAGCCCTAGTGTGTCTTCTTGAGAAAAATAAATATAAGACAGTGTCTTATTTTGGGGGAAACAGGGTAAGCAGCAAAATGTTGGGGCAAGGAAAGTGACTTTCATTCAGAGAGTCAGCAAACTGAGATGACTGATGTCCCAAAGAACTTAACCACCTTTAGTACAAACTTTTGGCACCTTTTTACAAGAAGGAGAATCAGGGCTTGGGTTGTAAGAGATGACCAAGGACTACAAAAAACTGGGTTGTCAGGGAAGGTCTGAGAAGGTTGTAAAATTTCTTTGTTCTTGGTCCCTCAACTTTGGAGCATGGTCAGGATGGTCCCCCAAATCTTTAATATACCATTGTTACTTATGTGACCTGAAATAAAATCCTATGCTCCCTGATGATTGAACAGACCTGCTCTAGGCAAAGAGAACACCAAAGAAACCTTAAAATTAAGTTCCCAGACACAATGGGACAAGAGGTCAGACACATTATACTTACTTCCTTGCTAATGGCCACAAAGCTTTTTTCCTAAAGGCTACAAAAGCTAATTTCATGATCCTGACCATGTTTTTAAACAGTCTACAGAGCATGCACAGAGAGAGTTTTTGTGTAATTGCTTCACCTTTTAATATCAGGGCTACCTCATTCCGAACATAGAAGAGCTCTCCCATAAAAGAGCACATATTTCTCATAAATATTCATGACTCCTCCTACAGCTTGTAAAACATGAATATTTGGCCACTGCACTCAGCATAAATTCTTGTTTCCATTAAAGCTTGTGTTTCTGGCTTTTGGCCTGGGCTCTGCTTCTCAGCCTGTTGGAATGGCCACCCACAGGCTGTAGCTAGTTATAACCAATAAAGCTCTTCTTTCCAAATTTATGAACCTCATCATTCTTCTTGCCTACCTACAGAACTAAGAAGAAACCTTTAATGTAAAGGATATTACTGCAGAGAGTCAGAAGCAAAATAGCCATATAAACTATATAAGGACTGAACAGAAGAAAGAGGAAGCACTTTGCCCTGAAACTAAAAATGCTGGGCGGACAGCCCAATTCATAATTGCCAGGTCATAGAAGAAGCCCAAGTGCCCATCGATCCACGAATGGATCAACAAACTGTGGTATATGTACGCCATGGAATACTATGCAGCCATAAAGAAAGATGGAGACTTTACATCCTTCATGTTCACACGGATGGAGCTGGAAAATGTTCTTCTTAGCAAAGTATCACAAGAATGGAAGAAAAAGTATCCAATGTACACACCCCTATTATGAAATTAATTTATACCTTTTATATGAAAGCTATAACCTAATAACAGCCTAAGAATACGGGGAGGGGAGGGGAAAATGGGTGGAGGGAGGGGATTAGAGGGATCACTTCTGAGGTTTATCTTACAAGGGTACAAGTGAATCTTTCTAAGAGTAGAATGTGAATGTTTTAAAACAATAACTAAGAAAATGACATGAAGGCTATGTTGACCAGTTTGATGGAAGTGTTTCAGATTGTGTGTGAAAACCCCACACTGTACCCCAGAAGCGCATTAATGTACATAATTACCATTCAATAAAAAAAAGTCAGAAAAAAAAAGATGGGTGGAAGCAGTAGTGGGACTCTAAATGGGCCGCAATCGCAGTCACTCCCCATTGAGGGAACATAAGCGGTCCCTGTCCACATCCCGGGAGAGAGACCGGAGGCGCGAGAAAGGTCTCGGTCCCGGAGCCGCTCTCCATCTGCACACCGATGACGCTCCAGATCTCCAAGAAGACATAGATCCACATCTCCCTCCCCTTCTCGACTGAAAGAAAGAAGAGATGAGGAAAAGAAACAAAAGAAACAAAGAGTAAAGAACGTGAGATTATTGAGGAAGATTTAGAGGGCAAAACAGAAGAAGAAATAGAAATGATGAATTAAGGGGATTTGCTGCCTTTGACTCCACAAAAGGAAAGAAGGTAGATGGCTCTGTAAATGCCTATGCCATAAATGTATCTTAGAAGAGGAAGTACAAGGCAGTACACCAGTTGAAAAGCTGGATTCAACAGACCTTTGGATCTCATTGCATGAGAACTGAAATGTTGAAGAATGATTTTTTCCCCCTTATCTTGGTCAGAGAAAGGATTTTGTATTTTTTTCTTTAGTATGCATAAAAACAGGATCTCATTCTCCTTATAAAGTAAGAAAATCTTATTTATGATGCACATGGTTCACTTACCTTGCCTCAAAAGAAGAAAGGTTAAATATCACATTTTTTTCTTTTAGGAAATATTTGTGGCAATCATCAGCCCTATTTTGTTTGTCCTTATTCCTGTGGAAGCTGTATGTGTTTTCTTCTTGGATGCTCATTAGGACTTTTAAAAAAACATGAAAGTAATTTGGATGTAAGTTCTCTAATAAAGGAATATTTCTACCCTTAAAAAAAAAAGAAAGTAAAAACGCTGAAACTTCAGTTGCATATTAGAACATTCAGAATGACAGTCTGGGCTCCAAGAAAGCAGTGCCTTTCCTTGAAGAACTCCATACAGGATTGAGGGAATCTAAAACATCCCAGATTAATGGGTAAAATCAGTAAATATTAACACAAAAATCTATGAAACAAAAGAACCAAACTGCACCCGTTATTCGACTCAATGCAGAATGAGACTGAGGTGTGGCGCTGCCAAATGCTCCTCCTTCTTCACACTTCCGGTTAAGCACCGGAAAGGTGAGAAGCTCGGTGGGAATTACAAAGGCAGCTCACGGGTATGAAAAGAGGCTGACTGGTATGCAACACCAGGGATGCTTGCCATCTGTTTTACATCCCTAGGTCCTTAGGTCAAGTACTGGACAGATGGTAATGGTATAGGATTTTTTTTAATGTGGTTTATGTTGGCCTGTGTCCTTATATGATGTGATCCTACAAGTATAGAGCAAAGACTGCCAAAGACAGGTTCATGTTCCTTTCAATTTCAGCAAAGCATTACTTGTTTTAATACTCTTAAGGCTAAGTCTTGAATGGGCAGTGGACTTAAGAGTATTAACCTGTTGCACAGGGATAGGGGTTGAGACACTGGTGCTGTTGCAATTAAGGGATGGACAGCAAGGAAAGGAAAATCACTTCCTTCCCTGCCTTTGCCTGCAGTTGAGTGTTCTGGCAGCTCTAGAGCAATGTTTTACACATATACATGTACAGGGTGGCCATAAAGGGCGTATGCAATTTAAAAGTGTGCGATTTAAAACGGCACGTGAACTTCACGGCCACCCTGTATAATACAATCTGCACGTGCCCGTATGTACATAATCATGCAGGCGCACAAATGAAGACAGGGAGGGGCACTCCTATACAAAGGTGACCCTACTTCTGGGTATTTGTTTATTCGTTACCTGCCAGTACACCAGTTTGTTACAAATTGACTAAAAATTTCCTTGGAATTCACTGAATAGGCTTCAAAACACTCAAGTAGGATGTTCTCTGCTCATGTTTGGCCTCAGGGAGACTACAAAACAAATATAGTTAACCTGGCCGAATTTACTGGAAATAAAGGGGTCAGCAGTGGTGGAGTTTGGGAGAATTCGGCACAAGCAGGGTTTGCAGTAGAGGGCTGGATAGTGCGTCCTGCCCTGGCTCCCTGGCCCCTCTTCCCCCAGGATCCCACCTCCTTGTGGCATCCCCTGCCCAGTGCCCGGGCCTTGTACCCTGAGACCATTCCCCCTCGGGGCGCCAGGGTCCCCTCCTTTGAGAGCCCCTCCCCTGAGGAACCCTCGGCCCCGGCTGAAGCAGCAGCTTCACCCGCGGCGCCTTCAGTGGCCCTCGCGAGGGTTGCAGCTTTGTTTTCCACATCTTGAGCCCACCGAGCCGTGGGGCTGTCAATCCCGACCAGTCCCTAATGTTACAAACGCCAACTCGCGGAGCTGGGAGGGCGCCAGCGACGAAAACCGGCCACCTGAGCGACCTGGACTCAGCATAGGGACGGGAGTCTCAGCACACCCAGGCGCTGCACAGTCCCCCTACAGCCTGGGAGACGTCACAACCTGGGCCCGCCTCCACTCAGGCCCCGCCCCCAAAGCGAGACGCACGCGCCGCCCTCTCCTCTTCTGGTGTCGTCGCACTGCAGGCCCCGTCCCCGGCGCGGTGACGTCGCGCACCGCCCACGGGTGGAGCTAGGGGCTGAGGCCAGGGCGCGCGAGCAGCGGCGCCCGCCCTCAGAGGGGCGCTGGCGCGCGGGCTGAGCCAGCGGGATCCGCTGAGCCCCGGGCCGCGTCGGCTGGAGGGCAGCGCGGCACGGCGCGGCGGGCAATGAGCGTTCCCCGGGGCGAAGGCCCGGAGGCGGGCGCCGGCGAGGCCGGAGTGCGCCCGCCGCCCGAGGCCCCCGGCGGCGCACTGAGTGTGGACGTGCCGGGGCTCCTGACGCAGCTGGCGCGCGGCTTCGCGCTGCTGCTGCCGGTGTACGCGCTTGGCTACCTGGGGCTGAGCTTCAGCTGGGTGCTGCTGGCGCTCGGGCTGATCGCCTGGTGCCGTCGCCGCCGCGGCCTCAAGGCCGGACGCCTGTGCCGCGCGCTGGCGCTACTGGAGGACGAGGAGCGCGCTGTGCGGCTGGGCGTGCGCGCCTGCGACCTACCGGCCTGGGTGAGTGCCGGTGGCGCTGGGACCCGCCCTGCCCTGCGGGACTCGGGAGAGACCCCGCCCTGTCGCCGCCCCGGCCTGCGGACCCGGGAGGGATCCCCACCCTTTTACCGCCCCGTGCCTGTGGGACCCCCGAGAGATCCCGCCCTGCCATCTCCCCGGCTTGGAACCCGGGAGAGACCCCCACTCTGTCATCTCCCTGTGTCACCGCCCGGACTTGGGGACCCGGGAGACCCTGCCCTGTCACCGCCCCGGTTTGTGGACCCCGGAGAGGCCCCCGTCCTGTCATCGCCCAGTGTTACCTCCCGGGGTCGAGGACCCGGGAAATCCATGCCTGTCACCGCCCCGGCCCGCACATGGGCACCGCAGCCTCGGTACGTCCTCCGGAGGTGCGGCTGTTCCTGGCCCTGCGCCGCGAAGGGCCTGGAAGTGGCTGGTTTTTATTTTCTCTGTGTTACAAAACGTAGTGACAGCTGGTGGGTGGGAAGAAGTTAATTTTCCTCTACTCTAAGAATACTCATTCATTTCTTGCTGGTTTGTGACACGGCCTGGAGCAGCTAGCGTCCCCGAAGGGGCGGCTGGTGTTAGCGTGGCCAGGAAGCAGTTTCGCTCCTGGCGGGCGCAATGAGACAGCACCTGCGGATCGGGAAGGGGCGCCGGAGGAAACTGGCGAGTCCCAGTTTCGTTGATCTTGTTTCTCCCGCGGGCGGTGCACTGGGCCTGGCTCCGGCGTCTGCTAACGCCCTAAGTCTGTGTGAGCTAGAGTCTGTGTCACCGTTTCCTACTGCGGGAAATGGTGTTTTGATGGTGCTCACATTAGACTGGCTGTAGACTTTGGGGCGGAAATAGCCAGCCGATCTTTAGAGGAGAAAAGGGCTTTGAGAATGGTCCCTGTTTCCAGTCAAGAGACTTGCAAAGTAAGGCACGGACGTGGCAAACAGGCAAGAATTAGAAAATAGGTTTTCCCAAGATAGGAGAAACATCATAGATGTCGCTCTGTGACGACACACAGCAATTAGAGTGAGAATCCAATGGTAAGAGAATTTGAAACTTAAAAATTTTCAATACATGATGGATTTGTGACGCTGGTGTCTTGCAGAATCCGAATAACTGGCATGGTATATGTAGTCTTTAGCTAGCATCATGTAGAAAACACAAGTTAATTAATAGTACCTAAGGTCGGAAAACAAAGAAGAGAAATGCACTTTGGAAATGAAAAAGGAAGTTAAAATGACACCTGTGTCATATTACACTAAGTTAAATGATGTTAGAAAGTAGCCAGAAAAGCTGAATAGGTACTTTATCAAAACAGGTACATAATCAATGCTGAAGAGCACAGTCAGTGATGTTGCTGACTTTAATAGGGATTTCGTTTTTGAGCAGTTGGCTAATACCAAATTTGCTGGTAAAAATCTTTGTGAAACATGACACTGTTTTCTAATAGTAAATTAACAAGTACAGTTGCTGCCATATTGAAGAACTAATTAAAAAAATAAAAAGATTGATTAGCTAAAGATTCTTTTCTTGGGTTTTTCATCTGTGTGACTTAAACTGATGAACCATGGTTTTTGTCTCATAAAGAATTTATTTTCTCCAGAATGTTTTACTTGTTTCAAGTTTGTATTTGAGTTTTTATCACACTCATAAATACTTAAACTGGCCTATATTGCATAGAAGACTTCTGGAAGAAGCATTGTTCTTCTGAGGAGAATTAATTAACTCAAGCCAAAATATGATGTGTATAGTCTAAGGACCAAATGAACAAAAGTAAAGAATTCACTATGTTCCCCTGTAAAGAAAGGGCAAGTATTTACTTTTTTCCTTAGTGTTAATTATTGACTTAACACTTTAATAAAATTTTATGAGGACTTTTTTGGCATAGCTGATTCAGGAGTCCAATTTAGCTGTTTAGTTTTTAAAATTTTTTTGATTTTTTTTATTTCAGGTTATTGTGAGGGTACAAACAGCCAAGTCACAATTTTTGAATTTATTAGGTAAAGTCTCTCTTTTATTTGTGTACCTCACTCAAAAGGTGTGCCACACAAAGGGCTACCTTGTGTCCTTTAAGTGGGAGCACATCAGTCCCCTCCCTCATTCTCTTCCCCAACGTGTATAGAATTAAGTTTTTCTCCTATGTGGGTATGTGTTAAAGCATCTACTGGTTTCATCATAGCCAGTAGATCATCATCATATTAAGCACACTGGATACTTGCTTTTCCATCCTTGTGATTCTTTACTAAGAAGAATGTGTTTCAACTCATCCAGGTTAATACAAAAGGTGTAAAGCAATTTAGCTATTTTAAACTGAGTTCTACTTTAGCACTTAAATCCTGGAGTGATTATGTGGTTTGAGAGAATGTTAGAGTCCTTCTCATAGCTGGGATATAGGTGCTACTGTGGGCTTCTCATTTACATCCTGTTGCAGCTGTAACACAAACCAGTAAAGGTTGTGGCAGTTGCATTACTTTATGTTGTGTGGTCCAAATGCTTCATTAAGTTAGAATATAATGCCCTAGAGTTGCTAAAAACAAAGCAGTACATATCTAGTTTTTAATTTAAAATAGAAAATAGATTTAAACTTAGGATCTATGGATGCATCAGTTTGTACACTCCAGTTTTAGTTACTTTTCTGTTTCACATGAATATTATCATTCTATGTCTAAAGATGGGGAAATATGGAGTTAGGACTATATACATCAAAATATATGGACATATTTTAAAAATACATATTTGTAAAATAAATCTCAATCCTATGAATAATCAGTTATGGAAAACGGGTAATTTAGTGTTGTCTTTAGGCCTTATGAACCTATGATCTTTTCTGTAAGTTTTTGTGATTTCTACATTGATCACAACATTTAACATTCTTACAGACGCTGTGAATATACCAACAACCATAAAATTCTACACTTTAAATGCGTGAATTGAAAGGTACATGAGGTATATCTCAATAGCACTATTTAAAAATATAGCAGAACCTCCATAGTTGACCACTTCCCTACATTCACCACCTTCTTGAGTTGACCTAACTTTCATAAACCAGACATGCATCACATGTACATATCAGTATAGCAGGCCTAGTTTCTTATGTTGACAATTTGTTACAGTCCCTTGGTAGTCAACTTACAGAGGTTCTGCTGTATAGATACTGAATTTCTTTCTTTTTTTTTGAGACAGAGCCTCAAGCTGTCCCCCTAGGTAGAGTGCTGTGGCATCACAGCTCACAGCAACCTCCAACTCCTGGGCTCAAGCGAGTCTCTTGCCTCAGCCTCCCAGGTAGCTGGGACCACAGGCGCCTGCCTCAATGCCTGGCTATTTTTTGGTTGCAGCTGTCATTGCTGCTTTGGCGGGCCCGGGCTGGATTCGAACCCGCCACCTTAGGTGTATGAGACGCGCCACAGGCGCCAAGCCTTGAATTTGTTTTAAAAATAAAGAGGTAAGGTTTAGCACCCATAGCTCAGTGAGTAGGGTACCAGCTGGATACACCAAAGCTGGTCGGTTTGAGGCCAGCCTGGGTCTGTTAAACAACAGTGACAACTGCAACAAAAAAATCCAAGCGTTGTGGTAGGCATCTGTAGTCTCAGCTACTCTGGAGGTTGAGGCAAGAGAATCTCTTAAGCCCAATAGTTTGAGGTTGCTGTAAGCTGTGACGCCACAGCACTCTACCAAGGGTGATATAGTGAGACTCTGTCTCAAAAAATAAATAAATAAAAATGAAGAGGTAAAAAGGTTGCCAATGACAGTGAAAAGTGAGCCCTGCCTCTTTGTTTATGGAATATGAGTGAAAACTGAAATTCTTTTTTTTTTTTTTTTTTTTCAATTTTTGGCTAGGGCTGGGTTTAAACCCACCACCTCCAGTATATGGGGCCAGTGCCCTACTCCTTTGAGCCACAGGCGCCACCCGTGAAAAAAAAATTTTTTAAAGGATATTGTTCCAACTTAAATTTGGGGGTATATTTACCTTTCAAAGGATATTTAATGAAGGAGGTGAGTTTATGACTGGAAAAAGTAACTAGATAAATGTTTTTACCTTAAACTTAGCCTAACATCCCTTCTTTTCTCCCTTCCTCTCTTCTTTCAGTGGAGTCTCACTATGTTCCCCAGGCTGGCCTGGACTCCTCGTCTCAAGATATCCTGCCACCTCAGCCTCCCATGTAGCCAGGCCACAGGCACTTGACGCTGTTCCTCGCTCTAAAATTACTTAAACATTGATAGTGGCTAAATTAAGCATAAATTTTAATTGTGTTGATATAACATAGAAATCATGTTTCAAAGATGTAAAAAAATCTCATTTTTTTTTCCTCCCTGTGAGTTATTCCAAACTCTTCACTCTGATTAGATGTAGCCTGTATGTTTGAGGAATAAAGATGTTCCCAGTAGACCCCAGCCCCAACCTCCAGGTGAGGAGCCACCTGCTGCCTCTGGGCACTGGCCCAGGCCCTCAGGGCAGTTCTCTCAATTTACAGGTAGTTGGAAATTCAGTGTTAAATACTGCTGCTCTGGAAATAAGGAGTGTTTGGACTTGTCTGTAGGGAAAATAGTGATGTATTCAGATCTAAGCTTGTGAAGGCAGGAAAGGAAACCACTGTATAAGGTGGAATAGTGAGTTCTCTTTTTGCTTTAGGGACCAGAAGACCTACAGCCAGATTGTCACTTCACTGTTGTGTCCGTGTGGTAGTAGTCACTGGAAGTGCTTGTCCACCTTGCTTCAGGGTTACTCTCCATAATCTTACTGTGCCTTGAACACTGAGTCACCTCTTGTGCTCTTGGGATTAGGTGGGGCATATTTCTTAACAAACAGTTAATATGTCGGTAGTTGTCTTTTGCATGGGATCATTTTTCCATTAAACATTTTATTTATTTATTTATTTATTGCATTTGGATTTTTAATACTCTTAACATGAATTCAGTAAACAGAAATCAAGCTGGGGGGGGGGGTCGGGGCAGCAATGACAGACTCTTTTTTTTTTTTTGCAGTTTTTGGCCAGGGCTGGGTTTCAACC